AATACAAATGATGGTGCCTTAACTAATTCCAGCAATCCAGCAGAATTTAGTCAAATTTTGCTTACCATACTGATGACATCTGTTCTTGACAATGACTGTGACAGTCAAAAGTACTTAACCTTTATCACTCTCTATGTGACTTCATTTGCTGTGCAAAAAGTTTATCCTGTCACTGAAGGTGACTGATCCCTGAAATTGAATTTGTTTGGATTTCATAGTTGTGTTGTCATATCCTGTTATGGCAACAGAAAACATATTTGAGTGAAATTAGCAATAAGGTTACTGTTATGATGTAGAGGTTAGCACTAATCAGCCGCTAAGCTCGTTTTACTGCTTCGTTATTCTCAGTGACCACTTTATGCATACTAATTTGCTAGTATCACTACATCTCCCTGAAACGTAAGGGTTTTATTTCTCTTGTAGATCTTGTACTCCTTCTCAGGTTATTTTCATCACTTTGCTCTATTTCTCTCTCTCTCTCCTGTATTTCCCTGGGAGACCTTGATCTGTCCAACGCTAGGCTGTAGTCATATGTGTTTTCTTGCATTATCTGGTCTTCGTACGAACTTTCAGACTCATTCTGGCCCTCTTGATCCTGCGTTATTTCGTCTTCTGATGTTTCCTTCTGTAATGGTTGTTCTACCAACTCGTTATCAGACGTTTTGCTCTTCCTCTTCACCCTGGTTCCTTATTTGGTCTGCATGGGCTAATACACTATTGCCGTTTTCTCTATTTATTATGGCTGTATTGTGGCCTTTTTGCATGATAAATTCTGCCCTTTCTGGATCTGCATCTTTGTTCTTTTTGTACCACATTTTTTCATTTGTAGAATACGACATCATTAGCGGAGCTCTAATCTGTCTTCCCATTAAAGCTGATGGGCTTTCTAGTCTTCCCGCATCTGGTATCGCACAATAACTTAAAAGCAGCCTTGGTAGAAAAACTTCTACTTTTTCTTTTTGCTGAGAGCATGCTTTTAGTCCCTTTTTTATGGTCTGCACCATTCTTTCTGCTAATCCATTCGATTGAGGGTGACATGGAGGTGTCACATGGTTTACACCCTATTTTTTCTAACCATACATTAAGTTCTTCATCATAAAATTCTGGTGCATTATCAGATACCAACGTTTTTGGTACGCCATTTCTGGAAAATATGACTCTTAGAATCTGCTTTATCGTAGAGCTTTTCTTGTTTGTAACCCTGATTATTTCAGGCCAACCTGAAAAAGAGTCTACTAGTATTAATAAGAGTCCAACTCTATTAATGTATGCATGATCCATATGCACACGACTCCGTGGCTCCACTTCTTTGGGCCACAAATGTAATTTGGTTTGTGTAAAGTTTCTTAATTCCTTACATTTTTTGTACCTTTTTACATATTCCTCAACATCTCTTGAATATCCCAGCCACCAAGCTTCTAATTTTATCCTTTTTTGTATGGCCACTACTCCACAGTGTATATCATCATGTACACTTTCTATTATCGGTTTTCTTTGTGTTTCTGGGAGAACTACCAGGTCCCCATTACAAATCACTCCATGTTCTATTGTTAATTTGTGTCTTATTTCTTTATAGGGTCTTTCTGCCCTAGAACAATTTCCCCATGAGTTTTTTCTTATTCTCGATACTATCCTACTTAGCACTGGATCATGTCTCATTTCCGCAGCCATTCTATCTAAAGACAAAACATCAGTCTCTATCAAATGTAGGAATGAATCTTCAAATTCTTCCTCTGTTTTATCTTTTGACTCCTTGTAGAATCTCAATCTTGATAGTGCGTCCACATGTGGAATTGAATTTCCTTTGACATACTCTCTATCAAAGTCAAATGCCATCAATCTTATCGCCCATCCTTGATGTCGTGACTTTGGGTAATTCTTTCCTTGGATTAAATATAAACTGTAATGGTCTATGATCACTTCTTAACAGAAATTTTTTTCCAACTAAAAATTGTCAGGCTCTAGTAGTTGTCCACACGATAGCCAATGCTTCTTTCTCTATGTTCGAGTAATTGAATTCAGTGTTCGTTAATCTTCTCAATAAATACATTATCGGATGTCCATCTTGTGATAATATTCCCGATATTGAATGTTCACTTGCATCTGTAGTGAGTGTTATGTCCTTTTTTGGATCAAACATTTTCACTACAGGTTTCTTCAACATAATTTCTTTTAATCTTTCAAAAGCTTTTTGCTGTTCATCTGACCACATAAATTCCACATTCTTTTTTCTTAAATTTGCAAATGGTTCCGTCAAGTCCGTGTATTTTGGTAAGTATTACCTGTAAAAATTTACCAATCCCAAAAAAGACTCCATTTCTTTTTTATTTGTAGGTGTAGCTACTTTTAGTATTTTTTCTATCAAGGGTTGGTCTGGTGATATACCTTCTTTTGAAATGGAATAACCTAAAAAAGATATTTTGTTAGAATTGCTTATGCATTTTTTCTCATTTATTGTCAATCCACCATTTCTTAATCTATTCAAGACTAAGTCAGTTTTTTCTTTTAATTCCTTTTCATTAGTAGCTCCTATGCATATGTCGTCTTGGTAACAAATAATATTTTGTACATTTCCTAAAACCTGTTCAATGGCCCTTTGAAATATGGCGCTTGCGGTTTTTATTCCATATGGCATCCTTTTCCACCTTAGTAACCCTATTGGCGTATTTATCGTAGTTACTTCTTTGAAGTTCTTGTCTATTGGTATTTGATGGTATGCCATTTTTAAATCTATTTTTGAAAAAAACTGTCATTCCTGCCAGTGCATGTAATGCAAGTTCAACATTGGGTATGGGATATGAATCCGAGCATATCTTGTGATTTACTCCTATTTTGTAATCTCCACAAATACATAAATCACCATCTGTTTTCCTCAACATTACAATGTGTAATGCCCACTTGCTACCTCCAGGTGGAACATGTTCAAGAAGGTCTTGTTCTACTAATTTACGTAGTTTTGTCACTACTAATGGCAATAAATGTACTGGTAATTTTCGTGCCTCATAATAAGAGGGGGAAACATTTTCTTTTACTTTTAAACTTGCTTCATAGTTTTTTAACTTTCCAGTTTTTTCCATTTTTATTTCATTAATTGGTAGAATTTATGTTAAGCACGTCATTTCCAATAAGTCCATGGTTCTTTTCGCAACTTGTAACAACTATATGTATTACTTCAAATTTGTCTTTTAACTCTAAGGAACCTTCAAAGTATCCTAATGTTTTTATAACCGACCCATCAAATTGGCGGAGTTGTAAACTGCTCTTTCGTAAAGGTGTCTTACCAATGCGTTTCCAAAAATTTTTTGGTATCGGTGTTACTTCACTCCCAGTATCCATTTACATATCTAAATTGCAGTTATTAATTTTGACCTTTACTATAATGTCTTTTTTCTTATGTTCAATTTTTTTTTATACTCTTATTTTTTAATGTAAAAACTTCCCTATTGGTGTCGTTTTCTTCAATTCTTTCAACATTTTTCTTTTTTAATTTACACACTGCTTGAAAGTGGTTCTTTTTTAAGCAATTATTACAAGTTTTTTCAAATGCTGGACACTTTTCCTTTTTTATTTCGTGTTCATGTCCACAATACAAACACTTTTTTATCTTTAACATGTACGTATCAGCGAATATTTGTTCGCTGGGTTGACTTTTATGATGGTTGTATTTCTGTATTAGTTCTTGTTGCTGAATAAAGTCAATGCATGTATTTAAAGACATATTTCCTATTTGTAATTGTTCCATTATTTTATATCAGTGTGATGCATTGCACATGCCTTCAATTAATCTTAATTGAATCAAGTCCTCTTCAATAGTCTGTTCGTCTTGTCCAAGTTTTTCAAATTTGCAATATCTACTTGCATTTCGTAGACGGTGCAGATATTTTATAATTGGTTCATCAATTTCTTGTTTCATTGACATTGAATTTCGTTCTTTCTGCCACTACCAGCCTTTTCTTGGGGCTCATATTTCTTCTTATAATCTGACTTATTTTTTCAAAAGTCAGGTCTTCCAAATTTGAGGGATATGCCATGGTGGAGACTTTCATCATCGCCTCGCATCCAGCTGTAGCCAAAAATAAATCCGTGATTTCATTTTCGCCTCCCTTTTCCTTGTTGTCTTTCAACTTTTTTGTTCTTGCAGTGGCAGAGAAACAATGAATCCATGTATCCATGAAATCTGGATCTTCCAGAGACAATTGATATCCTATCGGTGACGCCATTGTTGTGATGTTGAGGTTAGCACTAATCAGCCACTAAGCTCGTGTACTCCCTTCGTTATTCTCAGTGACCACTTATATGAGTGTTCACTTATGCTTATGCAAATTATGCATACTAATTTGCTAGTATCACTACAGTTACTGCAATACTGGAAAAAGAATGCAGTTGAAAGAAATATTAATAATGCAGAGTACTAAAAGGTTTAATTATAAGAAGAAAAAATATGAACTTTGGACAATTTATTCATAATTTCAATCCCAATGTAAAACAACTCATTCATAAATTAGAAAGATATAATAAAAGTTGAATAGACGGTGGAATTCAATAAAACTTGTTTAGAGATATATCCATAAATGCTCCTTGTAAGTATCCTCACATTTTTCAGGTTAATTTAATCATGTCAATTTGTTATCTCATAATTAAATTTTATGCAAGTTGAAAAACTGTAAATTTTCAAATGATTTGAAAAAAAATAATTTTCATATTACTGCAATGTAATAGATGTTCTAAATAATATTTAAAATGATTTCTAAATATGTTTTTTTTGTATTTATTTATTTATGAAAATTCAAGAAAATTAAAGTTAAAAATATTACAGATATAGAAACATTGTTTTCTAGTGATTGACATATTTATTTATACCTAATATCACTCAATATATTAAAAAGTTTTATGAAGTTATGCTTTCAATTATTGATTTTAACATTAGTTTTCTATGAAAAACATGAATAATGTTTAAAAAATAACTAAAATTACAAATTATATGGAATGATTGTTTTCAGGAACACAAAGATCAAACAAAGGGTGGTCACCTTTGCATCTGGCTGCATATTTTGGGCATGCAGAAGTTGTTAAATTGTTGTTGGAGGTGAGTATTATTTCCTATTAAGGGTTTTTGTTTTATCCTTATTTCTGGTTATATTACAGTAATTTCATATTTATACCATTTTAGTTTTTAATTCTATAGTACATTGTAAATTACAAGTTTTTATTTGCTTTGGAAAAAAGTTTTTGGCAAGAATTTTTTTTTTTACATGTAAAACTACAATAATCAGATAAGATAAAATGCTATTATAATTAATTGTTCTTACTAAAATTTCTTAAGAAAGGATGACTACTGATTTTAAAAGTAAGATATATTTATAAGAGGAAGGAAAAACCCTGCTTGCCACTGAATATATAGTAGTTTATATACACACCTGAGATGTTCATAATTGGTCAGATCAAAGTTTGCATGTTCTGCAGATTTCTATAGGTTTTTATTGTTTTATTTTCAGCAGAGAATACATGCGATTCATGAGTGTTTTGTTCATTGCACAAAGGGACTTCTTTCATTGCTGCAACATTGGATTGCCTAAAAATTATGGATTTTGTTGTTTAATACTTTTAGAAGTGTTCAGTTTGAACTTCACTCAAGATCATTTTGATTGTATTATAGTAATTATCATATTAGCATGCATTTCAAATAGAAAATTCTATAAATTTTTGTATATTTTTGCTTATTGATTCCAACAATGAAAATGGAAGAAAATAAACATTTTCAACACGTGATGATTTTCTTTATTTTAAGAAAAGTAAAACTATGATTCAAATGCAAAAAAGATATGTACAGTTTATGGAGAAGTTTGTGTCAGTGATCAAATATATCAAAAGTGACTTATAAAGTTATCTGTTGGAGATTTCTTGCTGAATGATGTTCCATGGCTGAGTAGACTAGTTGAGGTTTAAAATGATCAAATCAAGACTGAGAATAATCAAAATCAGACACAGAAGAGAGCAAACATTCAAAATATGTAAATCAAGCATTGCAACTCATTTGTGTCTGTTGGTCCTTTTGATTGATGTGTACCTTCTATGTAAGTTAAGCAAGGCAAATTCACTGGACTATATTTCCATGTGTGACTTGCTACATACATGTGATGAAACTGTTCTGGCTTTGAAAGAAAGTGTGATGAGCAACGAAAAGTGGAAACTTTATGACAACCTGGAATGCAAGAGATTGTGGAGAAACTGGATCATTAACTGTACCAAAGACCATTTGATGACACTGTGTATATGGAGGGATTGGAACAGAGTCTTCTACCGTGAACTCCTTCTGGAGAACCAGATGATTGATTCAAACAAATATTGCTCTCAGGTCAGTTTAAATCAGTAATCAGTGAAAAAATATCTGGAATTAGTTAAGAGGAAAGGCATAATTTTGTGATATCAAATAACACTCATTGCCACTTTTGTGATGTCAACAGATACTCGTGGGCACTTCTGTAGTGCTCGTTGTAGTAGAGACTTTGTAATTGCAGATACCACTATAGTACAATATGGGATGACCTGTGTTTTCTAACTGGTGATCTGTTCAAACTCAAGTGTCGGCAGCAACACTTTATTCTTATATAATATCTCCCCTTTGAGATGACTTCCTCTGGAGTCTATATTTCTTCAGCTTTGGTTCAATATTCAAATGTTCTGTTGCTGGGTTTTTTTTTGGGGGGGGGTACTTTTCTTCCTTGGTTCACTAATTTCTGGTGGTGTGGGTACATCAAACATGTCATACAATATTTACATTGGTACCTCTTTTCGTGGATTTACTAAATCAGTGACTCTCCATTTTAAATGATTATGGTGTTGCTTATGTTCTCATCTTTGTCCCTGTACCATGTATGTCATTTTTCCGATCCGGTTTTTTATGACACCATCTTCCCAGAATTCTTTTCCACATTGATACATTTTAAAAAAATACCTTATCTCCAGGTTTGAAGTATTTACTTATATTATTATTTCTTGATATTCTTGCTTTGCGTTCTGGTAATAATTTATTAAAAATGGACTTAATCTTCCTGGCAAACATTAACTTTGCAGGCAACATTCCAGACACAGTGTTCAGGTTTGATGTTATTCTGTAAATACACAGAAATTGTAGCATTTCTTCATCTGACTCCTCTCCCTCCAACTTTTTGACTGTCCTTTTAAATGCATTGACAAACCATTTTGCGTGTCTGTTTCATCTTGAGGGATAAGGAGGAGTTATAATATGTTCTATTGCTAATGATTTGTAAAAAAACTTAAATTCACTAGATGTGAATTGAGTCCTGTTATCTGAATCAATACAGTCAGGAACCCCTAGATGCCCTATGTAAAAATCCTTTAGCATATGTTTTTGCAATGGTGCTGGTATCACAATTCTTTCTGCATACATAAGTACATTATTACATAATGAAAATGCATTATTTCCAGTAATATTTTTTCCTTTAAATCTTAATTGCTTCTTCATTTTCATTATAAAGTCGTCTTTTTCCAACTTAACACTTATTTCCTCCAATGTTATGGGCAGTTCTCTTACAGTATTGTATAATACATTAATAATTTCATTTTCGGCCCTTATCTCTGCAATTACTGTCTTTAAGTGGTTCCCAGAATCTTTGTATTAGTCTAGAAAATCCGTCTGCATGACTTAATTATTTGGATGGTAGAAACTTCATTTTATAATTATAGTTCAATAGGATAATTCCCTAGTGCTGCAGTCTATTCACTGTATGTGTAGGAACAGTCTTTTTTTTTTATCCATATATGGACAATAATGGATGATGATCTTTCTGTAGTATGAATTCTCTACCATGTATGAATTTGTGAAACTTTTTCATGGCAAATATGATGGCCAATGCTTCTTTTGCAATCTGGCTGTAGTTTTTTCAGCTGAAATCAATGATCTTGAATCATGAGCTATTGGTTTAGTCGTTCCATCAATATTTGTGTAGTATCATTGCTCCAATAACCAAATCACTTGCATCTGATGCAACCACAATCTTTAATTTAGGGTTAAAATGAGCTAGTGACAAATCTGATGTTAAGATTTTCTTGATCTCTCTAAAAGCACTTTGACATTTATCTGTCCAATTCCATTTCACATCTTTCTTTAGCAGGTTATTCAAGGATGCTCTTTATTTGTTCATGTTTGGTGTGTGTGTGTGTATATGTGTGTATATATATATATATATATATATATATATGATAGTAATTAGCAAACCCTAAGAATGCTTGCAACTTTGTTACATTTTTGGGGGCAGGCATGTCCTTTCTTGTGTTCGCCCTTGAAGAATCCAGTTGTCTACAGTTTTCATTAATAATTTCTCCTAAATATTTAAGTCTAGACATAAACAATTCACATTTTCCTTCACTAATCTTAAAACCATATTCTTTGATTCTCTCAAAGACTTTCTTTACATCTTCTGCATCTTGCTTTCGGGTCTTACTTTTACGTACATCATCCAAATATACTTGGGCACAATCCAAACTTACAAGTATGGTATCCATAATCTGTTTGAATATGCTTGGTGCTACCTTTATACCAAAAAGAAGTCAGTTGAATTTGTATAATTCTCTATAATCCTCATTTGAGTGTTAATTGTTAATAATTTTGAGCAATCTACTAGTAGGTAAGTGTCTGACAGGTCCAATTTAGAAAAAGTTTACCTCCATTCAATTTGGCAAACATTTCCTCTGTACTTGGTAACAGGTATTTATGTTGTTTTAAACTTTTATTTAACCCTGTTGAAAAATCAGAACATACGCGGATTTTATCTTTTCTTTTTTTAATGTAGACTGTTGGTGATGCCCATTCAGAATAGTCTATTTTTGAGATCACACTTAATTTTTCTAGTCGGTCCAATTCATTATTAATTGGATCTAAGGCCGCAAAAGGTACACTCCTTTTTATATTAAATGCTGGTGTTACCTTGTCTTTTAACTCGAACTTGCTTTTGCTTTCATGCATGTCCCTAGACCTTTTGAGAAAACTTCTGGAAAACTCTTTTTCAGTTCAATTTTCAATTTTTCAGTTGCCATATCAGTACTGGGGGTAACAATATTTATCTTGTTGCAAAAAGAGTTAATTGGAAAGTCCCAAAGATCAAATAATGCAATCCAGTCTATTCCAAACAAATTAGCAGTATTTTTTAATACAAACACCACAACTTTTTTTTGTTTTTCTAACAAAAGAAATGTTACAGCTGAATTCACCCCAAAAGTTGAATCTCTTTCCTGAGACTCCATGCGTAACTATCAGAAGTCAATAAACTAGGTTTACCCATTTTTCTCCATGTCTGCTCATTTATGATATTGATATCAGTTCCTGTATCTAGTTGCAATTTTATTTTTACATCATTAATTTGCACAAAAACAAATTTCCCCTTTTGAGATGTCTTGTTAATTTCCCTTTTAGGCTTCTTATCATTACTTTGTGTATTTATCATGTTCACATACCTTTTCTTTTTTCTCCATTTTTTTTGTATCTGCAACACATACTTTTGTGTCCTAATCTCCCTTATTCATAACATTTTTTATTCTTGAAGAAACAGTCACTTTTAAAATGCTTACCTCCACAACCATGACAAGTATTAGGTATTGAGGGGAGTTTATAGTCTTTTTTCCTGTTCTGTTAGGATGTGAAAAATATTTGTAGTTTTTTCTCTTAGATGGTCAGACACTGTACCTGTTAATTGTCTTTTTCCTCAATACTTGTAGTATCAAGTTTCAAATTCACAATACATTGACACTCTTCCACTATTTTCTGGAGAGTTAATTTGGAATCCATCTTTAATTTAGCAAGTATCTTAGATCTTATCTCTGTGTCCTTATTAGAAGTTAAACCCCGTACGAATATCAGGCATTTAAATAAATCAGGAGTTAATTCATTTAACTTGAACTTTCCCATTCTTGATTCATGACTCCTGCATAAGTAACAAAATCATCATTGTTGGACTTTAGTAAGTTAAGAGATTGCCATCGTGTATTGAATAATGAGCTCCTATCACCAAAAATTTATCTCTCCTGGTTTTGTCTTTGTCTGGAGTGTTTGCAAATTTGCTGATTGAATTAGCAACAGTAGCTGAAGTGGATGAATCTGAAGTTGTTCCTTCCATTTTTTTGGTAAACAACTCAAAAAATTTTTGTAGTTGTAATTGCTGTTCTTGTAATTTTTGTTGCTGCAACTGTTGTTCTTGTTGTTGCTTTTATAGCACCAACATTTGAACCATGACAGCTTTTAGTTCTTCCATTCCACTGTACTCTACTGAATGAATCTTTGTGTTGAACGAATCCTTGCAAATCCTTGTCACCACTTTTGTGATGTCAACAAATACTTGTCACTTTTGTAATGCTCATTGTAGTAGAGACTTTGTAATCACAGATACAACTATAGTACACCATTGAGCAATGCTGGTGTCAGACACCTTGAAATAGCACTCACACTAATAGTACTTGCTTGATAATACTCACTAAAAAAGTAAACTGTATAGTGAATAGTATAGAGAATAGTGGTTTGTATAGTAACAGAGGATAGAGGAGAAATGACAATCCATATAGTGATACAGGATAAGACCTCCTAATGTGTTTCCTTTATAGTCACATATTCTACTTAATTGAATAATAGGATCACCTGTGTTTGCTCACTGGTGATCTATGTTCAAACTCAAGTGTTGGCAGTGACACTTTATTCTTATATAATATTCTAATTACAGAATTATATTTATATAAAAATTCTAATTCCCTGGAAGACTGCAAATTGCATTTTAGACAATTATTTGCCAAGAAAGATAAAAAGCTCTTGAAGGATGGAATTATGAAGAAAGATAGTAGAACAATGCAGTAAATTTGTCTTCAATAAAGTTTATATTGGAAAAGACCTATTTTTACTTAATAAACAAGCTTTTGGCTACTCATATCTTACCCTAAATTCATTTGAGATCATTTTTATTTCTTTGATACCTACTGTATAAAGGCAAATTGAGATCACCATGTCTTGCTGAAGTGGAAAAAATACAGAGTTCTTTTAATCATAAACCAAACAATTCTCTTAGACATAACAATTTATTTCAGTTTCAATAACCTGTACTGTATAGAGTAGAATTAATAGATCTAGATTATTATCAAATATTTATCTTTAAATTTATCTTATCTGAAGTATTTGATAGCTTTTTTGTTTAATATTTCAAGTAATTTATTCATTTAATATGTAATAAATGCCAACCAGTCAGATTTAGGCCTGCTACTGGTAACATGTAAGCCAATACAACATTTTGCATTGATGGGTTGTTGGCATCTAAACCAGTTCCCCCACTAGTTTTTTTTCTACTGGTGAGGAGTGTGGCATGTCACCCTACAGATGAAAAACAAGACCTGTCAAAGGGTACATGAATCAAAGGCCAACACTTGCACACACACACACACACACACACACACACACACACACACACACATATATAAAGGCTAGGATGGGGTCTTAAACCTTGAATGGCAATCTTCCTAGAGATGGTGTCTTGATAAAACACTCTGTATACTTGGACTACTGTGAGTGTCTGAGTTGAGCATCAGGAAGAGCATCCAGCCTTGTAAAACCTTGCCTCATATAATTGACAGAGATCCTCTGTCAGATCGGGCCCACCTTGCTATGTGTGAGATTAATTCCAGTCCTGTCTCAACAAAAAAACATGGCTATGTATGTATGTATTTTATATATTTAATATGAACTTAAATTAAAATTAGTTAATTATTTTATTATCCAGGCGGGTGCTGAAGTAAATGTCCAAAATGATATGGGAGACACACCCCTTCATCGAGCTGCCTATACAGCAAGAGAAGTAAGTCAAAGATGTTCGATTTGTACTTGTGTATTAATTTCAAGATGGCGAATGCATCACTATGAAACTATTAGTGAACTATTAGTGTTTTTTGACAATTTTATTTGATAATTGTTTTTTTTGTTTGTTTTTTTTTTACAATAATGTTCACCCTGTATAAGGGGCCAGGAGCCACACAAAGTAGAGGGTTACAAGGGTATGGGGTACATTTTATGAGGATATGTGAAAAAGATAATGGTTATTCCTAAACTTGAACAGGTTAAGATATTAGTGATCAGGGAAGCATGCTTTTAGGAGTTGGTTCCACAAAGTAGTGGTTCATGAGAAGAAGCTGTTCAAGTGGAACTTACATCTCACCAATTGAATATGAAGAGAATGAAGGTGGTTTGCTACAATGTGCACGGCATGGTGGGTATTAGACATGAAAGTTAGAACTAGTGGAACTAAGGAATATAGTCCGTATGAACACTTTCCATGAAAATAGTGATAAATTAGTGAGAGGCTTGCAAAGTTTCCTCTATAGGAAAAGTGTTGTTGGATGGAAAATAATTAATCACACACAAGGCCACATTTTGGGCTCTTTCAGGGTTGGAAAGTGAAGACTGGCAACCTCCTACCCGATTATAGCAGTAGTACTTAATTTTCGGCCTGATCTGGCTCTTGTAAATGTGGAAGATAGCAGGAGGAGTCAGGTACTTACTAGAGATGTACAGGGAACTGACCATTTTTCCAGCATCTTTAGCAATGGATCATATGTATGAATTCCACTTAAGGTCTGGGTTGAGTTTAAGTGCCAGATATAGATCTGGGTTGAGTTTAAGTGCCAGATATAGATCTATTATTATTATTAGTTATTCTGAATAGATGTAAATAGAAGTGATTCAACTGAGATTGGTACAAATACAACAAGTAAATTGCATCCAGAAGATTGGGAAATAATTCAAAGAGAACAAGAGAAAAAGAAATTTTTGTTTATGTTGGTTATTTTGCCTGTAGCATAAAATCTTTTGTTTTCTTCCAAAGTGTTGGACTTGTTCCTTTTAATTCATTACCATGTATAATTTCTACCTTTTAAAATCTATCATTTAGTCTATTTTTATTAGAATATCTGTACCAATCAAATTAAGAATAGTTCTTGAATTACTTTTATTAAATTCTTATAATTTATCATATTTATTAAATTCTTATAATTTATCATATTTATTAAATTCATGTAGAAAATTATTTTTTCTTTATATTTACTCTAGCTTTATTTATGGTTTTACAATCTTATTCAATTGAAAAAAAATCAGATTGGTGATTGTAATTATGGATTTACTGTTTTCATAATCTATATAATTAATTCCTCAAATACATTTGTACAAAAGTGATGAAATTTCTTTTTAAGGACATTGTGATGTTATTGTTGTCTCATGGTGCTGATATTTCTATATTAAACACCGAAGGACACACTCCTAAAACTTTGGCTCCTTCACCAGTCAAACGATTTCTTGAAGGTGAGTTGCTAAAATATTTCTAATGAAAGTAATCTATTGGTTATTTTTTTTTTTTATCTTTAGCATAGAAATTAAATCCTGCTTAATTATTCTTAGATTATTCTTATTCTAAGAATTCTCTTTATAGTAATTATCATACATCCTATAAAAAACATTTTTTAGATTAAGAAAAATTTAATTAAAAATTTAATTTCTTTTCTAGGCTTGTAAAAAGAAATAAGTTTTTCTTCATTATAGACTCACAGAGTGTTAACTTGAATATTTATAGTCAATAAAAACAAAACACTCCAGATCTGCCTAACTGATATAAATGATAATGGAGTTTAAATGGTGTCTTTCTGTGATTGACTTGAATTTTAATACTTTGAAAATAGCATAGTGTTTGAATGCTGATTATAGTGAAGTAATAATTTTATATAGAAGTCTTTCTGTTGAAATTTCAGCCTCTGAGCGATCAGATTCCCATCGTATGACCAGTGAGTTTTTATCATCCTGTCTTCATGGACAAATTGATATTATTAAAGAAATTGTAAGTATTTTTGTAACACTTAATAGTTCATGAATGTTTTGCATTTGAAAACAAAATATTCTTATCTATAAATTACATATTGTTGTAATTTTTAGATGTTTTATGATTATTTATTAAATTGAAAATGCCTAAAATAGTTTAAGATGTATACGTGTATTTGTGTATTACGTGATATGCATAATTAAAAACAATGATAACTGTTTAGGTTTTACCTATGTGATTAATTAGGTTTATTAATTTACTTGCATTATTATTTCTGGCTTATTCATGTTACTAATTAAGTTTATTTTGACCTGGTATGGTTAAAGAGACATAACTGCAATATTATTTCTTTGACATTCATTTATGACTACTTGATTAATAAACAACCATGATATAAAATAGCAACTTTTAAATTCATAAATTATTAAGTTTTAATATTTTAAAACATTCTCAGTAGAAACACTGATGTATACGTGTGAATTTATATCCTAATAATTGCTAATTCATCTTACATGTTTATATATGACTCTTATGAATATTGTTACTGTTATTAATAATGATTTTTTTGTTTTGTTTTGTTTCGCAGGTCAGACAACCAAATGCTCCTGATATAAACATTACTGATAAATTTGGGAACACTGCTCTTCATATGGCTGCCTTAAGAAATCAAAAACATATTGCCATTCTTTTGCTTCAGTTAGGAATAGATACTTCTCTGAAGAATAATAATGGTAAATAAATCTCACTTGGTTATAATGTGATTTGGTGATTTCTTCCATTGATAAATTAATGATGAAATCTGTCTTTAATATCGAGTTTTACTAGGGTACAATCAAATTAGCCTCACCAATCTTCATGGACCATTTTAGGTGACCTGTTTCTATAAAAAGATAAAGTCAGACAGTTGTTGAGGAATACATCAAGAAATGCAGTAAATGAATGTATCAAAGCTCAAAATACAATAAATGAATACCAAAAACCTGTTAAAAAAAATATATATATATATATATATATATATATATATATATATATATATATATATATATAATAGTGGTAAATATACACATACATATGCAAAATATATAAATATATACATAGGTGCATACACATACATGTATATTTTTTGAATAAAAAATTCCGAGAG